TGAGGAGGGGTGGATATTCAGATGGGCAAATAGGAAGTCCCTTCCATATAAGGCTGGGACCACACAGGACCAGTATCAGTTCTCCGGGCTCTAACTGACAGAGTAAATTAAACTGGTAAATTATGAGGTGATACAAACAGTGGGCTAACAACAGAAGCATTTTTGTGGACTCTGGTTTCTCATTCCCCAGCAACTGTAAATGAAAAATTCATTTTGAGAGAAATTATCATTGTCTGTCTGTCTGTCCTGGTTTGCTTCTATTTATAGCTATGGGGATCCCCAAGGGTAGGGACTGGTTCTTCTGACACTTAGAAAGGAGGAAGAGATGATGGGAAACACCTAAGCCCTTTCATGATACAGTGGGAAAAGAATACAGTCTTGGTCTGGAGAGATGGCTCAGTGTTTAAGCATTGACTGCTCTTCCAGAGGGCCTGGGTTCAATTTCCAGCACCCACATGGAGGCTATAACCACCTGTACTTCCATTTCCAGGGACTATGACTCCCTCTTGTAAGCTCTGTAAGCAACAGACATGCATGTGGTACACAATCATACATGCAGTTAAACACCTATACACATAAAACAAATTTAAAAACTAAAGAGTATTTTGTTGTTTTGTGGCAGCATCTCACTAGGCAGTCCTGACTGGCAAAATTCACTATAGACCATATAGGCCTTAAACTCACAGAGACTGTTCTGCCTCTACCTCCCAAGTGCTGGGATTAAAGGCATATGTCACCATCATGCCCAACTCTTATTTTATTTAAGATTTATCTTATGTGTATGAATGTTTTTTATGCATGTGCCTGGTGCCTTCCGAGCCCAGAAAAGGGTGTCAGATCCTCTAGAACTGGAATTGGAGAGCATCATGAGGCACCATGTGTATGCTAAGAACTATCCTGGGTCCTCTGTAAGAACAGCAAGTAGAGCCAGGTAGTGGTAGTGCATGCCTTTGATTCCAGCACTCAGAAGGCAGAGGCAGGCAGATCTCTGAGTTCGAGGCCAGCCTCATCTAGAGAGGGAGTTCCAGGACAGCCAGGGGTATACAGAGAAACCCTGTCTCGAAATAAAGAAACAAACAAAAAATGCTAGAGCCCCAAGAGGCAGGGTGAGTTGTTGTTAGTCTCGATTTGTTAAATAGTCATGTGCAAAGAAGAAACAAGAAAGCTGGGCAGTGGTGGCACATGCCTTTAATCTCAGCACTTGGGAGGCAGAGGCAGGCAGATTTCTGAGTTCAAGGCCAGCTTGGTGTACAGAGTGAGTTCCAGGACAGCAGGGCTACACAGAGAAACCCTGTCTCAAAAACAAAAACAAAAAACAAACAAACAAAAA